AGTAAAGAAATGAAAAAACAAAGGCACGGTACAAGGAAGGGACAACGAGTCGCAGAGCTGTTCGAAGGCAACAATATAAGCCCAGCCGTGGGGATGGATCTGGGTTGGTGCGAGTAGCAGGTGGTTTAGAAGTTGCACCTTGAATGAAGAAAAGGGAAATCAAATCCCAATCTTCGTCACTAGATCCTGGTAGAAGAAAAAAGAATGTGGCTCCTCAAGGTTCCTGCCGGAGCAAACAGGTTCGTCATCGGCAGGCACGAACGTGTTAAAATCAATCGGGTTGCCTAAGGGAAGCCCTGACACTTCTTCGGTTGTCATCTCGGCGGTAAAACTCAGCACCTCTTCTGTAACCCAGGGATATTGGGTACGGAGATTATCAGTTACTGACGCAGAACCCTTCTCTGCGATATTCGTCCCGACCTCTGGACCCAGGCTAGAAGAAGCGATATTCGCATTTGATTCTGTAGAATGGGACTCCATAAATACCTAGAACAGTAAAATGGAGGATTAAAAAGCAAGAATAACACGTAGCAAAAGGGATACGTACCCGAACTAAACAAACTACTATCAGAGGAACTAGAATCGTCAGATGCGAAGACAGGAGCAGGGGTTGGTGAACCCGAAACGTGTGAACAGCTACCTAAAACTAGGTTGGCCATGAAGTCATTCCCTCTCTCCACAAATTGGGCACCAAGGTATACACAATTGAAACAAGGCTCGGGGTTGGTAATGCTAGGATGGGAGGAGACTCTCACACTCTGATTCGGAGAACGAACAGGTGTAATAGCGTGAACCGGGGTAGAACCTAATGAAAGAGAGGTTGCCCTGAACGGGTTGCCCAAGTTACGGGGCTCAACATCCCGACCCCGGGTTGAGGAACCAGAAACCCTTATACCTCGAAGACCCCTCCTACGATCACGGATCGAGGAGCAAGATGAAGAGGTTCCCCTACGGCCACCACCTCCATAGCCGCCTAGCAGAGCATCCTGCGTTTCTTCCTCGGTCTGAGGTCTGCCATACAACCAGTACCTCGAACCAGGTAGTAGGCTTTGAATGAACCTTTCTTCTTCCTCCGCAAGTCATTCTTCCTCTCCGGCGTCAATTTCATCACCGCGACGAAGCTGCGGGGGCAAGTGGGCCTCCCTCGAATAGCATAATTTCGCTCACCCATATCAGGAACTATTCAAAGCAGGGTGTGTAAGGAGTGAGCCAAGTGCAAATAAGCTCACATAAAGTGCAAGACCAATACAGAAGGTACAATCACATAGAGAAGCAGGCAAGTAAATAGACTTGGAATGAAGAAAGGCATTACAAAACCAGCAGCCATGGTCATAATTGAAAGTTAGTGAAGAACATGCCAGAAAAGAGAGTCAGAGTGAAAGAAAATACCTACGAGGGAAGGTGTTGAAAAAACTGGTAGATACTGGAGGAGGATGCTCTGGTAGGAAGATGCTCTGATGAATAGCGAAGAAAAAACTCTTCAACAGTGAAGAAAAAACTCTTCAGGAACGATTCGAAACAACAACAGAAACAAATGGATGATAAATGAGGCAAGTGGTATGAAATGTTGAAATCAAAGGATTAAACCCGCGAAAGCCAAAAGGCAGGGGCATTGCGGTAATTTTGCGATGGACAAGACAGTTGAGGGACATTTTGGCAGAGGCATTAAATACCAAGACGGCGAGAAACGCACAACGCCACACGTCGCGCCTATTAGGAGAGAGCACGTGGAGGGATAATCATTAGAAGGAAGGGAAACCGTTTCTCACTTCAGAGAAATCATCAGATGGCAGTTACGCACAATCATATTCCGCGCTGCCGACATTTGCATCCGGGTTCCCGTGCCGGGTTTAAGATCGTGACCTGTTTTAGACAAGGAACTCGGTAACTTATGCTTATAACTAGGCTTACAGAGACCAGGAACAGCTTCCAGGGGAAGCTTCCCCCCCCCCCCCCTCTCAAGGCTAGGTAGGGGAGCCGAAGTAACAAAGCAGCCAGGTGATTGACTTCCGAATTAAAGCATAGCAGTCGGACTAGACATCCCGGCAACCTAAAGACTCAGTCTACCGGGCTGGGGGGCAACTGTTATGGACCAGAGAAAGGCCCACAGCAGCAAGAAGCCCAACCAACATCAGCCCAGAGGTAAGCTCTATAAATAGGACTAAAGACCACAGGTATGACTGATCTCTCTAACCCTATTTCATTTAAGACACGACAGTGCACACACACACCCCTTCTGGCTAAAGCCATCATATAGTGTGTAGTGATCAGCTGTCCCCAAGATACCTAGTTCATAGGTATCTAGAGAGAAAGCCTTAGATTCAACATCAATGACCCGACCTTCTGTCGGACATATCTGCCTCAAGCAGAACAGTCTAATTAACCAAAAAATATTTCTTAGACTATAGCTAATAACAACATGGTGAATTTCTCGTAAATCAGATTTTAGATTTAATAGGGAAATTATTTTTTTCAAGCTGTAGAAGATAACTATCTCATATCATTGTCATAGAGACATAAAAACACGTGCTTGTAATTTTTTTATTTTTCTTTAACTTGTGGATTTCATATTTCTTGTTAGTGTAGGGGAAAAAATTCTCTCATGTTAAATGAGATAAGTATTACCCATATTAATAACACTTTATTTCAATTTCAACTGTTGTGACAGTGTTACTTTTGTCAAGGCAAAAACACTGGAGCATTGTACTCAACTTCTAAAATTAATTGCTCGAGACTAGTTTCTTTTACATCACATCTACAAAAATAAATGACTTAAATAGTTGGCTTTTTGACCCTTATAACCTTTTATTATTAATTAATTACCGATTTGACCTTGATTATAAACTATTTCAAAATTTTAACCCCCTCAAAAAACATAACACCAATCTGCCCCTGTTTGACCGTTGACCACCAAGCCTACCCGGGTACACCCCTCTCTACCCGGGTATTTTTTGAAAAAATTTGTCTACCCGGGTAAGGAGGAGTGTACCCGGGTATTATTCTTCGCACCTGAAAAATTGCTTGAATTATTTACCCGGGTAGAGAGAGGTGTACCCGGGTAAATCTTCGACCATCCACTTACTCGCCATTACATGTAACACGGAGTGTTTCTCTCTCTCTAGAATTTTCTTGCTGTGAGGAACTAGAAGAGAGAAAGTAGAGACAGTGGTTATATGACAACAGCTACGAGTATATTCAAACCTGTGGAAACTATAAGAGCTTGAGCAGTGTGATTTAGATTGGCTCTTGCCCAAGGCATCATCCTCACACTAGCCAGCTGCACATCAAGCATAATTCGGATAAGATATTTACCAAAAATCTTAGTGGAATAGTAAAACAGTTTTTTTAAATATAAACTGAACTTAAAGGGAGAAGAAGTTTTTGGCAAAAGTTTTTTTAAATACTTACTGTTGGAATAGCGCTGGCAACACTGGCAACAACAGCTGCCTTAGCTCCAGCTAACACACCCTCTGTTTACACACGAAATGAGAAAAGCAAAACAAAGATCATATAAATACTAGAAAATTCCTCACAGCAAGAAAATTCTAGAGAGAGAGAAACACTCCGTGTTACATGTAATGGCGAGTAAGTGGGTGGTCGAAGATTTACCCGGGTACATCCCTTTCTACCCGGGTAAATAATTCAAGCAATTTCTCAGGTGCGAAGAATAATACCCGGGTACACTCCTCCTTACCCGGGTAGACAAATTTTTTCAAAAAATACCCGGGTAGAGAGGGGTGTACCCGGGTAGGCTTGGTGGTCAACGGTCAAACAGGGGCAGATTGGTGTTATGTTTTTTGAGGGGGTTAAATTTTTGAAATAGTTTATAATCAAGGTCAAATCGGTAATTAATTAATAATAAAAGATTATAAGGGTCAAAAAGCCTAAATAGTTAGGCCCAATGTTTAGCAAGTTCATCTTCTTATTTGACGCTAACTTTTTGAGTGTTGACAATTTAAGAGTCTGTTTAAAATTTTTCTCACTGCTAAGCATGATTTTCAACGCATGTTCATCCACAGCATATTAAAGGCTCTTTTCCAAATTGAATGCAAATATAGTCCAGTGAGCGTAATTCACTTATGGAACATTTGCTTCCAAGTTTTTAATAAGAGATTTGACACCTCTCTACCACATCCATTCCCTTTTCCTTCTTTCCTTTCTTCCTCAATCTCCCTACTCCCTCTCCATGTGCCCTAATAGAGCCTAATTCAAAAAAAAAAAAGGGCAAACCCCGGTGTGCACCCATACTTGGAAGGGTATAGGTAAAGATGAATGACTTTTCCCATATTCAAATTTATGACATTCTAGTTATAAGGAGCATACAATCTGACTGCTGCTCCAAGGCTCAACCTCAGCCTAATAAAAAAAATAAAAATAAAAATAATTTCTAACTGTTGTATTCTCTTGTATAGCCCTTTAATTGTTAAAAATTTTACTTGATTCTACAAATGTACGTGTTTCACAATCAGTATTTCGTACAAAAAGTCTTAAACAAAATAACAGTCAAGATTCACAAAAATAAAATAAAAAGGGTAGACGTGAACAGTCAACATACGCAAAACATAGTCGAAAGAATCGAGAGTCTACTACTTCAAAGTGGTCATAAGCTCTCAAAGTCTTACTTGAAAACAAATGATAAGTACACAACCAAAGATGGCAATTGAAGAAAAATAACCAGAAGGACTGAAATTTAGAGTTTGTGAAGCTCGTATCAAATATAAATTACCAATTAGGTTTGTTCATTCACTAGAATTTTAAGAGCCTGAACATCCATCTTTAAGAAATTAATCAATGCTGTCTATATCTTTATCAATTTAATCCATAAGCGATTAAATAATGTATGTTTTCAAGAAAAATGGTTTGTGAAAATTGTAATTAAAGACAAAAATGGAAAAATAATAATTTACCCAAGCATATAATAGATAGAAGAAAAGACTGCTAAAGATGTCAGATACAGGACATCAAAAATTAGGAATGAAGCACATGTCCAAGTATACGAATGCAGCACATATATGGAATGCTTCTGAGGAAATAAACAGTCAATTAGCTGGTGATCAAACATGTTTCACGCATTGCACAGAAGGATCATTGATCAGTTTTAAACTTTTGTACATAAGTAGTTAAATCATGCAGTTCATCAAGTTAACAGGTTCGTACTGTCATCCCATAAAAATTTAGTTAACAAAACCATTTCTAAATTGCAAGCAATCAAAAATTCCAAGCAACATTGCAGAAGTCCACCATCTTTATAACCCCTGATAGTCCATCATCGGCATTATTGTCACTCAGCTGCATAGAACAAAAAGGAAACCACGGGAGGCATCAGAACCATTTCCAGACATTAGTATACATAATAAGCAAAAGGAACTACATAGACAAATCAAACATATGTCAGAACTTTCCACTTGTAACAATTATAAATTAACATATCCAATGCCACTAGTAACAATGTAACTGAGTACTATAACATCACCTTTGTGTTGAAGCAAAGGTGCATAAGGTCAACTGCTACCTTATAACTCTAATGCAGTGCAACAAATCATATGTTCGGAAAGTTGCATTTAAATTTTCACATGTGCTAATGAGTTACCAAATATCATGAACTTAAAATAGTAGCGGCTTAAGTGTCGCAATTGACATAAACTAGTGTTGCATCAGATGAATAGCATCAAAGGAAGGTAATTAAAGACACAGTAATCTAGCAACTTGATTTATGTCGAAGCCATATTTACAAGATTATGCGGGTAGAAATATTAATTGATATGTATGATATAGTGCTCTAAAAACAAATCCACCAGCCTTGCATTACAGCGGAACTAGTCTGACCCGACTTTATATAGGGAACCTCCTCTTGGTACCTCAATTATTCAGGCCTTGCAAATGTCAAACACTCGAACTAACATGTTATCCATAATCCTTACTTTGGGCTCTAAAAAACTTGATTTGGTTGTGTCTTAAATAAAGCAGGTGGCTCATTATTTAGCATTTACCAAAACAAAGGTCAAAATTTGACACGTGAAAAAACCTGCCCAAGTCATATCAAACTGTTCAGGTCTGCAAAATAACCCATTCCGGCTCAGTTGCAAGTCTGATCTAATAAATGATCAAGCTAGACTTAATAATTATGATATCCTACTCATTATTACCATATTACAACATACATCTACGAACTTTGACACGTATCAGAAGTCTAAAGTATGAGGAAATAAAAAAAACTTTTGCAATTTTAAAAATCTCTAAGCTCATTTAATGATGTCAAGAATCTCTATGCTCATTTAATCATAGTTTTTATTTCCTTGAGAGAGAGATTGACCTACATGCAGAGTTTTTATTAGCAGAATGAAAAACACAAAAAACTGATATTTTTCTTGGTTAAACTATTCCAATCTTCCCCAAATTCACATACTTGCTTAGTTATCAATATCGATTAGCGGCACACAGCGGCCAACTGCAAAACTGATATAGTGGGATAGCTGCTATATTGAAGACGGTAAATACAAGTTGAATAAGTTATAATATACATATATTAATGCTTATATATAAAAAAATTACTCAAAATTAAAGACATTCATAATTAATAATCAAAAGTCATAGTCTTAAAGCCAAACGCACAAGCCAATAATAACAAAATTCAAGGAACATAAAGAAACTACTCATTGTCACGGAGTGGATGTTGCCATGACAATTACCAAAGCCTATGTGGAGTCGAAGATTTCCAAAGTCAGAATCAGAAGACTCAGAAGGGAGAAAAAAAAAAAAAAAAAAAAAACTGAACTCAACAGAGATAGATGGACACAAAACTGAACAGGGTGCAGAAAGCACAGTGCAGCGCTTGGCCGGAAAACAACCGCTAAGCACTGGGTGTGCGTCAACTTGATGGAACTGACGAGGGAAAGAGAGAGCAGTAGTGAGGGGAATGCCAGGAATGTCCAGAAAATTGCAGGTGATCAATGGGTGTGTCAAATTTACGGATCAGACGAGAAAGAGAGAGAGAGAGAGAGAGGTGTCTCAAAGGGTTTTGAACAGAATATGGGCTGAACAAAGAAGATCTGATTCAAGGGGAGGGGAAGAATATTGAGAATTTTTCCCCACAAAGTTGCTGGTACAACGTAGAGATGGAGGCAAAGAGGGGGTTTTTACCTACTCATCACAGGCACGGCGGCAACAGCTGCAGTTATCCACTACGTGGCCACAACGGGTGCCACTCCAAAATGCTACACGACAGCTGCTGGGTAATGGCTGGACGGAACACCATGGTATGTCATAATAGCAGCACTATAGCCTGCTATTAATAAGCCTGTATAATTGCTAGTTTTAAATCTAGATATCATATCCAAATAGATAGCTGAAATAGACACATATTAACAGCAGTGGCAAGAGAAAGAGAGCGCAGTGGTGAGTGGAATACTGGGAATGGCCAGAAAACTGCCAGCAAGCAATGGATGTGCATCAAATTGACAGAATAGACAAGAGAGAGAGCAGTGTCTCAAAGGGTTTGAAACAGAAGATGGGCAGAACAAAGAAGATCTGGTTGATAAAGGGGGAATTATGCATTTGTCCCCAGAAAATTGCTGGGACAATGCAGAGATGGGGGCAAAGAGGGGTTTCTACCCACTCTTCACAGGGGCGGTTACAGCAGCCGCTATTCTTCACTATGCGGTTGCAATGGGCGTTACTCCAAAATGCTACACGAAAGCATTGCTATAGTCCGCTATTAATAAGTCTGCATATTTGCTAGTTTTAAATCTAGATATCATATCCAAATAGATAGCTGAAATAGACACATACTAACAGCATAAACTTCTCATGCAAATTAAATTTTAATTCAGATAATGACTTCTAAGAGTCTAAAGGTACACGAATGATTTGCGTGAATAAAAACAATTCCGGAACCTTCATACGTAAACCAATTGGCTAAGTTAATAATAATCCATAAAAAGGCCATCAAAGTTATTGGTCAACAATCAACGATATAACTTCTAAGATATGCCTTTGTAAAATATCATCATGTCAATATGTCAAATTGATGCTACAATTTGCAAATTCTAAGAAAAACATTCCCATAAAAAGAACATTGTATTTATATATTCCAAATCCAAATCAGCGTCATCTATATACATAATAAATACAGGATAACACAGCTTTTGTTAAACATACTTTCAACCCGAAACAAATCTAATCAAACTATCATAATTGATATGCATCTGTAAGAAACAATCAAACATGTTGGTAAATGCTGTCCAATCCTTCCATAAAAAAGCATCACAACCTCAGTATATAATGTCTTTAATGCTTGAAACTCTAAAACAACTGAAAGACTTATTTTTCCCCCCTAGTATGGTTAATGCCCCAAATTTTTTTAATTGGTACAAGTACAACCAAGTCCTTTAGTGAGTTTCCCCTTCTATGCTAGTAAAATCCTTTCCGTCCATCTAAACAAAACAAATATCAAGCTCATAACAATTTTCCCCCAACTGAAAAGACAGTATGCTTAGAAGACAATAATAGTAAGAAAGATTAGATCCTTGTAAACATAGTAGCAAACAACCACTCCATATAACAAACAGCTATATTCAACTTTGATTCCCACATCCACATCCACATCCACAATGACATACCTCTGTCCATCAAGATTACCCTGTCCACTGCTCCCACCACTCCCATAAGACCCATCCTCAGCAGCGCTCTGCCAAACTGACTGCCACGCCTGGGAAGGCGGCTGAACATAGACACCGGTGGTGGGGTCTAGCGCGGGGCGGCCGATCATCATTCCGGCAGGCTGACCAATAGGAGGATAGTAATAAGGAACACCGCTAGCGGTGGGGCCACCAACAAGTGCGGCGGCGGCTGTATCGTCCTTGATGTCGTCCCTGGGGACAATATCAACAAGGAAGTCGAAAATGTCGGTGCGGGTAATGGCAGCGGCGATGTCGTTCTTCTGGAGGGTTCGGCGCTTGTTCTCCTCGGCGTGAAGCCATGAACGGATGGTGAGTTCGAGGATGAAGAGCTCGCATGCCTTGGCGAAGAGGATCGGTGCTTCCGCTGAGATCATTCGAACGTCTTCGTCGGCTTTCATGATCTTCTTGATGCGCGCCAAGGGAAGCTGGTGGTTCTTGAAGTCGTTGACGTGCTCGATCTCTTGGCGCTGGTACGACCAGAACATCTGAAGCTGTTGCTGCTGTTGCTGTAGGAGGTGGTGGAATGGAGCCGCCGCCGCCGCCGCCGCTGCGGGTTGCGCTGGGTATGAACCTGATTGGGATTGCACTTGCTGGTTGTTGTTCTCCATTTCTCCCCCAAATGGATGGTTTTCCAGGGTTTGATTTTGATCCAAGGGTGAGAGAAAGAGACACACACTCACCCACAAAAGTATTGGTGATTGGAAAATTGAATGGAAAGAAATTATGTAAATAGGATAAGGTTTTTTATTATTTTTATTTTTATTTTAAGGATTTATTAATTAAATAATAACATTTACTCTTTGTTATTATATATATGCTTCTGATGTGCTACAGCTCCGTCATGCTCTCTTTGTGTGTCAAATAATTTATTTATTTTTGGTACAAAAAAAAAAAAGCGGTTTCGTTCCTACCATTTGGATGGATATTGAAGTTGACGTTTGTCACTTTTTGTGTATGTAGTTTACTTTCTCATGCTGTACTCGTTTTCAAAGAATTTATAGTTACACATAATTTTTATTTTTATTTTGTTTTAATTTTGAGGACATTTAGATTTTAAGGGTTGAACTTAGGCTTATTTATACTCGTTTTCAAAACAAATATAAGATATAAATTGATAATAACTAGGGGGCTTTTTTTTTTTTTAACCACACTAGTTTTCTCGTGTAGTAGGAAATAAGTATTATTTTCTACAAATTCATTTATACAGGTGGTGTCCATTTTCAAGAGAGAGAAAATAAAATAAAATGAGACTCGTCTTAAATTTGTGTATGTAGAAGATAAATTCTATCTTATATAATAATAAGAATAATAAATTCCTTAAAAGAATGTAATTTGAAGTGAGCTTAAATAATTTAGCTTTACAGAATATATAAAATCTTAAATTATTTGTTATAACAAAGCAATTCACGTTATATAAAATATAGGAGTAAAGTGAAAACGAATCAAGTTACAAAATAAAAAAATAAAATTCATCATCATTCAACAATAAAAGCGATGTAAGTTGACACATACATGATTTATTTATTTATTTGTTTAAGAACCAAAAAAATAAAGATAAAAGATTTCGAGTCGAAGGAGCTAAATGATGATGAATTTTATTGACCGGCAGAAACTAGTAACTTGTGTAAATTGGCATTTCAGAATTTCAGAGTCTTTATAGATACAGCTGAAACTAGTCTTGAGGGCAACTACAACACTAATGCAAAACTGTAGCCCCGCCAATATACAGCAAAAAAGGACAAAAGCTGCTTAATCAATCTCTACAAATGCAGTCAACTCCATTCTCTTTTTTGTCACTAGATACATAAAAGAAAAACTAAATATTCAAATCCTGCTCTAGTTTATGTTGAATTGGTGATTGTCAGCTATGGATTTGTTGAATATTTGAATCTGCTATCTCTTTGGCTAAATGGAACATGGAATCTCTTCAAGTCAATTCCGTCACTAACAATTACTTGCCACTACATAGCGCGCTCTTTTCCGCTTATATACAAACAAAATCTCAGGCCTACTTCTCTTCTTTCCCAGTGCTTCAGCGACCTCCTTTCCTGGAATATCTTCAACAGAATCTTCTTCCTTAGTTGTTTGGCACCTCTCAACCAAACAATCCTCCCTGGAATTCTCTTTGTGCATCAATTCATCTTCTGTGACCACCTGAAGAAGCTCCGTAGGAGTAGCAGCAGGATCAAGCTCCAAGCAACCCTTAGGAGCATTATGACCTTCTTGACCAGTAAGCAAGTATGAAGGCACCTGGTGTGAGAAACGAAACATCTCTGCCTTCAAAATATTCCTGATTTTTCTTGGATCTGCATTCTGGCGGAATACTGTCTTGAAACCTGGAACCTTGACAAGTGGAGCAACATTCACTCCTTGCTCTTCAAGGTAGTCTTCAAGCACTTCCACCATGTCATATTGATGTATGATTTCATCTTCAGTAAATTCGTTCCAATCAAGGGACCAGTTTCGATACAGAGCCCAAACATCCCCTTTCTTTGGATATATATGTAGAGCCCCTCTTGAACCTTTTCTCCACTTAACCCTGTGAGAGAAGGAATTGAGAGTGCTAAAGGATTCACGCTTGCCCATTCGAAAATCCCCAGTAGTCTTGGGAAAGCCAGAACTGACCCACTTTATTGGGGCCAATTCATCATTGGTTTTCGAATTAAGCCAGCTGATCGTCATTTTGAAAGGATTCTCTGAGATTACATTGTGGATCAAAGCATAGTGGCGGGGCATGCCATCATCATCATCATATACAGCCCACACCTGGTTCTCACCAAAAGCTTTTTCAACACGGTCCCCATCAAAATCATGGAAATCTGGGTCTGGAACACTCATGGAAAGAGAATCAGGAACCTCTGAATCAGAAGAGGAACACTTTTTGATGATGGTCTCAGAATCAACAAATTCTTGTTCACCAGGTTTTACATAATTTATAGCCTTTTCTTTGTCCTTCTCTCTAACTTCTGTGTCAGTATTCTTTGACTTGTTTAAATTCTTTGATACAGAAGAAGCATTCCATTCATCAAGTTTTTTACGAATCTCCTTCCGAGCCTTTTCCATCAACATGTTCTTCATTTGCAGCTGTGATACATCCCTAATACCATTAGGTTTGTAGCTTCCAGCAGCATTAACCCTTCCTGTATAAAAACTATCCTTCTGAGACCCAGTTTCATTACCCAAGTTCATTCGTTTATTTTGAAATGATACTTCAGTTTCCATATCTCGTCTATCACTATTAACTTTATGCTCATCAGTGCCCCGTTTTTTCCTTGGCCTATCTCCTTTCAGAACAGAATTTGAACCAAAACAAGAGGACTGAAAAGCTGAACCAGCACCAGTTCTATTAACAGCATGAGTTTTCCCAAAATGGGCCTCCTCCTTTATGACAGGTGTTGAATCTTCACGCCCTCTCTTCAAATTCTTACATGACATCCCAAAAACACTGGGAGCTTCAGCAGCAGTAGAAGCTGATGTCCGTACACTGGAAATACCACCAGGCATAGAGAAAGGACCTGAACCAAGTGATGAATTGACACCGTTGGCAGCAGATATTGATGTCCTCCCTGAAACATGAATTCCTTCCATTCTAGTTGAGTTGAAGTTATGTTGCTTCATCTGAGAAATTCTTGAAGTGGATGAAGCATTTCTGTATAAAGGTGGGGGTGGTGCCTCAATAGCCAAAAATGGCTTATTGCAGCTGGTGCAGACAAGAGTGCAGTTGATATAAACGGTATGATATTCAAATTGTGTCCTGCAGGAATTGCACATGGTCCAAAATGTTTGTTTCGATGACACAGGAGAATTTGGGGTAGGATTGGGACAAGTAGCATTCCTATGATCTCTATCCTTCCAATCAGCAGTATTGAAGATATTGAAGAAACCATTCTGACTAGCTGGTACAGAAGTTTTCCGAACTTGAATTCCTTGATATATACCCCAAAAATTGTACTTTTGGTCAAAGATGATTCTCTTGGCTTTATCAGATAATAAACTCCAAGCCTGTGTGATGAGATTAAATGCCCCATCTGCACCTACCGATTTATTTTTATCAGGGTGCAGAGTAAGAGCAAGTTTCCTATAACATCTTCGAATTGTTTCGTCATCAGCTAAGGGTTGCACGCCAAGGACCCTGTACCAATCAACTTCCCCATTAACTCTTTTTTCAGCAGAGATATAAACCTCAATGGTTGCCAGCAATTGAGGAAGACCATCAAGATTGGGATATAAGTTTTGAGCCTTTATTGCGAATATTCTCGCGCCACCAAGGTCCCTCTCTAAAAGCTTCTTCTCTGCAAGCTCTTTAGCCCTTAAGGCATCATCTTTATTACATTCCATGCTTACTAGTTTGTTTCAGCAAATGTGCCACTAATTACTCTTCTTTATTTCCTTCCTTAGAAGTATACACCAGGGCAATATCAATGAGGAGTGAGGACTTGACGATAAATTTTTACACGCAGAACCCGACAATTCCACGTGTACAATAAAGATGCTCCTTCAATTACAGAAGCCTGATAAACCCTATAAATTATCAAAAGCGACACAACTACATTAGCAACAAAGGAAAAGAAAGACAAATTGATAACAATATGATCGAGTCTTAACAAAATAATGGTTAACGACTTAATGGATAACGGATTTCTGCCCAGTGATTATTCCAATCCATTAATTACCAATGTTTTACCTAAATAAATCAAGTAACTACAAATTCAAATGAATGTATACAAGTACTGAATTTCTGAAATAAGCATAATGATATCATGATATGAGGATCCCAACATATTTTCACATTCTCAGTCTATTAATTACCAGTGTTTTTCCTAGATAAATCATGTACTAACAAGTTCAAGTATATGTGTACGAGAACCGAATTTCCGAAATAAGCATATATCTTGACATGAGGTTTCCAAACAATATTTTCACATTCTCAGTCCCTTACCACCTTCCCCAACCACAATCCAGGGAACAAACCAAATCCTTACAACAACATTTAACAACAAACCCTTGCAAAAAAATTTAATTTTTTTGTTATGTTGTTGTTGTTTTTTTTTTTTTTTTTTTGGGGGGGGGGGGGGGGGGGGGCGATTGCAAAGGAGAACAGGAACCATGACATAATTTCAAAAAATATATAACACCAGACAGTGGTTTCAAAAAATTTTTCCAATATTAGGGCAACAAGAAAAAGCATGTCATCTCTTATAAGTAAATTCTCGTTCATGCAGCTCCTAATATGAACAAACTCAACAAACATCCACAGGCAACAACAAAAGAGATTAAAATATATATATATATATATATATACATTCAAGATTTAAGACTTCCAAAAGAAACACAATTTATCGCTCATGCAGCCCTTCAAATGAACAAACAACAACCACAAAGGAGGAACAATAAAATCTGAAAAACCAAATTCAAAATTACTAAGACTTCTAAACATACAAAATTCAATGCTTCAAATTGTCCACAGTAATGCGGTTATAGCACCGCACCTTGTGGTAGCCGCCGACCGCATTGATGGTTCTATTACAAAAAAAAAAAAAAAATCGTCCAAAACGAAACACAAAATCCCTTTATTTTTCTTTCTTTTTTTCAAAAATAATTATGAAATCAACTACTGCAACTACAGATTCTAAAAATTAAAGAGCCAATATAAAATCACAAATTCTAAAAGCCACATTGATTCAAATAAAGAGAAAGCAAAGGAAGAATCAGGTAAAGGCCATACCTGAAGACACATGAATGAAGGGATGCAGAAAATTGAGTTGAGGAAGCTCTGTGTGGTTTGAAAACCGATGCCTTTAAAAGTTAACGGAATTAGGCTCGGATCAGAGTTTCAAAGCTTACTCTGTGCGGTGCATGTTTGGCCAAGATGGTGAAAGGATTTTATACTGTTTCTCATTCACTTCTGATATATATATTTTTTAAAACATCCAAAATTTGTTTGACCTAATATAATATTAAGAGGATACGATAAAAAAAAAACATATATTTGTTAGATCTTTCTAAATTTTTTTTTTTTTTTAACACAAAAGGAAAATAAAACGAGATCTTTCTAAATCTTAAAACTATTCAAGCGAAATCTTTTTCATATTGATATAGATAAGTTAGGAAAATAAAATAACAACAGGGATTCACAAATAATTGGAGAAAAAAAATAAAAATGAAATCTACCTTTTTTTTATGTAATCCACCTATTCATTTAGGGTTTAAAAAATAGTTTTTTTTTTAAAAAAAATCACATATTTTTATAAAGAAAATAAATTGTAATAAAATATTATTTTATTTTATCTATTTTTTTACCCGATATCGCTATAAAATTATCTAAAGAAAGTAAATATCTTATTTTGATAATACATATTTAATTTGTCTTAAATAATATTTTTTAATTTCAAATATATTTTAAAAAATTAAGATAATTTATAAATTAATTTCAAAATAAATAACATGAAATATTTTTTAAACCATAAATGTATTCGTTACATAAGGATATAAAATAAAAAAGAGAGAAAATTTATTTGAAATATTTATTTTTTAAAATATTTATTTTTTAAACCACAAGGTGTCTAAGTGAAATTTATTGTAACCAGAAGGTGTCTAAGTGAAAATTTGAAATCATAGAGGGTTAAATGACAAAATATCTCAGTATAGTGGGTCTGGTCAAATGATAAATCATAAAACTACTATTCATTCATATTGACACTTATTCACAAAGCTACTGGTATGCACATATTAATGTTCCTTCCATAGATGGTCAGATTCTGAAAAAATTATTGCTAACGATTATAATATTCAACTTAAATACTCTAATAGGATTAGGACTATATCAAGTTTCTTCCAAAAATGAGACTCTGCCATGAATCTTACAAAGATACAGCTGTTAATTTTCAAGGACAGAAGGATATTGGAGCGTTTTGTCATAGATTCTGGCAAAAAAATTTAATTAATGTTTTTTAATAAAATAATTACGCATTTATTACAGTTTTGGAAATAAGTACGGATTTATTGCACACTGTGATGCCTCTTTTGGGTGTCACATGTGACGCCCCACTGAGGCGTCTCACCATAAGGGAAGACACCCAAATGAGGCGTCTCTCATGAGATATTGACACGTGTCACTTTTTTTTTCAAAAAAAAATTGATTTAATTATAAAACTTCTAAAGGTCATAACTTTTGACTCGAGTATCCAAATCAGGTAATTCTTTTTTTGATTCCACATAACTTTTGAGATCTACGCAATGACATCTCATTTGATATATTTTATTTCTCACCAACATAGTTTAAATTTAAATCAGGTAATCCTTCTTCCTTAGATATTTAGAATATTTATTTAATTATTTCCTTTATTAATACTTATTTTTCAAATTGATTTTTGAGTTTAAATCACAAATCAAATCTTTATTTTGTTTTCCTTATTAATAATAATTGTTACTTTTAATTTAAATTACAAACCAAATTTTTTATAATAAAAATTAAAAAAATTAATTTTTTAATTTAAATCAAACATCAAATCTTGATTTATTTTTTGTATTAATTCGCAAACGCAGAACTCATAGGCTTCTGAGTTTAAAAATGTGACACGTGTCAACACGTGTCAAAACCTAACACATCACTAATCACGTCTATATTGGGCTTCAATTAAATGGCAATCACGCCTAATTTAGGTAATTTTATTTTTGAAAAACATTCATAAGCCATCATTAATTTCAGACCACGAATAATAACCTAGAAGCTTATAGCATTAATCATTAATTTTAAAAATAATATCCTTCTTCCTTAGAAATTTAAAATATTTATTTAATTATTTTCTTTATTTCTACAGATTTTTCAAATTGATTTTTTAGTTTAAATCACAAATCAAATCTTTATTTTGTTTTCCTTATTAATAATAATTTTTATATTTATTTTGAATTTAAATCACAAACCAAATTTTTGTTATAATAAAAAAAATTAATAAAAAAAAATTTAAATCACAAATCAAAATTTATTTATTTTTTTATATTAAATCACAAATCCAGAACTCAGAGGCTTCTGGGTTTAACCGCTCGTATAATATCATTCTTGCAAATTAAAATTGTGTTTGTGAGAAATAAAATATGTCACATGAGATGTCATTGCGTAGATCTCGAAAAGTTATGTGGAATCAAAAAAAGAATTACCTGATTTGGATACTTGAGTCAAAAGTTATGACCTTTAGAAGTTTTATGATTAAATTAATTTTTTTTTGGAAAAAAAAGTGACACGTGTCAATACCTCATGAGAGACGCCCCATTTAAGCGTCTTCCCATTAGGGTGAGACGCCTCAATGGGGCGTCACATGTGACGCCCAAAAGAGGCGTCACAGTGTGCAATAGATCCGTAATTTTTCTCAAAACTACAATAAATGCGTAATTATTTAATTAAAAAACATTATTTTAATTTTTTTGCCGATGCTATGAAACAGTTAAATCTATTGTAAAAGGCTCAGCATACATGTCAGCAAATCAATAATTGTGAATAAGCAAGAACACAACATTACTGAAAGCAAATCCACTTGGCCTTTCTTATGATGTCTGTTCTTAAGCTACTCCAGCTAGCATTTCTTAAACTGTTCAAAAAGTTACAAAGTCATAGTACAAATCATTCAAGTTAAATAAAATGCTTGGTGTGCAGATCAATCCGGAGTATGTAAATTAATTCATAAGGTTGTCGTATGTTTTAACCTCCTTCAAGCCGTAACAGAAAGCTTCCAATCCTAAACATTGTAGAAAATTGTAGCAATGATTGCCCAGTAAGCCTCGTAACAAAGGTTTATAATGAGAGTCCAATGGGCATCAATGCATCGTAGTAACAAGCAAAGCATATAAGGAGTAAGATAACACAAAAGCCCATGGTTGGAGAAGAACTTCCATCAAATGGGCTAAGCAGCACTCTATTTATTGGGTTTGTGGGTTTACATGGTCATCGTTTGGAGAAAAAAAAAATTAAAATATTACTGTTTTAATAAATAATTACGAATGTATAGTTGTTTTGAAATTATATATGAATCATTGCACTCATTCTTGTCAAATTCGGGCATGACCATTCACATCTAAATTAGGGGTGACTCATGAGGCATTCACGCCTAAGTTAGGCGTGACTCATTTAGTGTTGACATGTGGCACAAAAAAGTCAACATTTTAATCGCAAAACTTCATAAGGCCATAACTTTTGATTTGGGTGTTCGAATCAGATAATTTTATTTTATTTTATATAACTTTTCGAGATCTACGCAATGACACCTCATTTGACATATTTTATTTCTCACAAACACAATTCGAATTTGTAATAATAGTACTATAAGAGCGTTTAAACCCAGAAGCCTTCGAGCTTTTTCCGAACCAAAATAAGTCATAGAATTCTTTATTTAATGATCTAAAATAAAGGAAATTACACTCTAAATTTTGTTTTCACTTTTATGAGGCTATTTTTAAGAAATCAAAGTACTTCGCTTAAGAGGAAATTATATGTTTTTCTATTGTGCAGTCAATATGTCAAGTTAAACTTGGGATCAAAAATTGGATTAGATGCCCATGACAAACCTACAATTGGATGTTACGGTTGTAGTCATGAAGTTATAGAATGTTAGAAATTAAGAAAAATAGAACATGGAGAGAAACTTTTATATATTTTTAGTGCAATACATCAAAAGTTTTGCATTTTTTAATGCAACTTAAATAACATAGAATTTATGTATGTATATATATATATATATATGTATATATATATATATATGTATATATATATATATATAGAATTCTCATCAATCACTCTTACACTTTTATATTGTGGCACATTCTTTTCTCACAATATTATACACTATTATTTTTCAAACACTTGGTAGAAAATATATATTTTACTATGGCATTAAATATCCTTATTTATATATGAACTAACACACTTTAGTGCCATCTCTAATTTCAGACCACGACTTACAAGATAAGGTCTCAATTCACAGTGATAAGAATACTTCCCATAGGATAGGGATAAGGAGATTCTAGTAGGCAAAAGACTCTTTTGATGTTGATTCGAAAAAAAACTCAGAGGTCTTATGGGTTTAAACGCTCTTATAGTATTATTGTTGCAAATTTGAAATATATTTCTGAGAGATAAAATATGCCAAATGAGGTGTCATTACGTAGATCTCGAAAAATTATATGGAATCAAAAAAAATATTATTTGATTCGGACACCCGAGTTAAAAGTTATGGCCTTCCAAAATTTTACGGTAAAACTGTTGACTTTTTTGTGTCACGTGTCAACACCAGATGAGTCACGTCTAACTTAAACGTGAATGCCTCGTGAGTCACGCCTAACTTAGGCGTGAATGTGTGCAATAGATTCATAAATAATTTTCAAATAATTATATATTCGTAATTATTTATTAAAATATTAATATTTTAAAAATTTTTGCCGCCATCATTTAGCATAGTCCTAATCAATGTGAAATTCTACTACTCACACTTAAATCCCAACAATAATAAATAGACTAAAGTGTCTACTTGTCACTTCTTGTTCATCAACAACCTTGGCCCTCATACGATAAGTCCTTAGTTCCAATAAGAGGTCTTATAATACAGTAACTCTTAGAAGATCAAAACGCATTAGATGAGGTCCCACTTGGGTCACCGATTACCAGAGTTAGTACATAGGATATTGGGTTCTTGTGTATAGTCATTAGATAGTGGGCTTTTGGTGTTAGTGTGTCACGTGGGAGGCTACAGATATAATGGTGACGTGTGTAATGTGATAGGTGTATAAAAGGATGGTTACTGATATAATAAACACTGTTAAGGAATATATCAGTTCATTCTCA